ATCAGAGAACGAAACTCATTCGTAAACAAAGGTTTTCCTTTTTTCTTTATTCATATTGTATTCTTACAAATAAATTTTATTTAGAACTGGATTTTTACGCACATACATTAAATATACTGTTTAATAAATAAATAAAAAAATAATCTACTATAATAACATTTAAATTAACAAATATATATATACATACATATATTAAATTAACAAATATATATATATATATATATATATATATTATTACACCACGCCGAGGCACCCTAATATATAGATATATACATAGTTAAATTAAAAAAGACAAATAACGTTAAGTGTACATAGATTGTATTTTTTTTCCCAGGGATTTGGGATTATCCATACGGCTTGACAAATAATTAATTACCTAACGATATATATATATATATATATATATATATATATATATATATATATATATATATGATGTACTCTCCGTCGTTTTCGACGGATGAGTGTCTTTCAGTTCATTTTTTTTTTTTTTTTTTTTTTTGGTTTATGTTACGAGATTTGCAAACAGGTCCACACGAGGAACATGCTGAAGTGTTGACCGTCATAAGGCCTGATATATTGTGCTGAGATTTAATGTTTCGATGACAACTGGTCTAGAAGGACAACTCATAATTCAAAACCTACGCAAGATCGTTTAAAGGAACTTGTGGCACGTAGTGCACCAGGGCTCTCTATTGACCCTCTAAAAGTGTGGTTGGTTCTGCACAAAGTCTTCACCATATAATCAAATCATATGTGCTCGTGTCTGGCTGTCGGTTCCTAGGAATGAGCTGCTGGCCCTCATACGTCGAATACCATGGGAGAGCCCATTATATATATATATATATATATATATATATATATATATATATATATGATGTATTCTCCCGTCGTTTTCGACGTATCAATATCTTTCAGTTCAGTTTTTTTTTGTTTTATGTTGCGTATGAGACAACAATCCTACACAAGATTTGCAAACACGAGTCCACACGAGGAACATGCCGAAGGGTTGACCGTCAAATACACTGATGTATTGGTCCGAGATTTAGTGTTAATTATTAATTCTCTCAGGTGGATGAGACGATTCTTTTCAAAGTTAGTTATACCTCGGTAGCAGGTGTTTCTCCAGTTTGCTCGGTTTTCAACAGCCAGTTTGAACTCCTCTATAGGGATATTTGCAGCATTTTAATTGTATTTGAGTTTGTCCTTGAAACGTAAGCAAGGACGGCCTACATTACGCTTACTACGAAATATATATATATATATATATATATATATATATATATATATATATATATATATATATATACAAACATGTATGTGTGCGTGTATTTGGGATGCTAACGTATGTATAGTATCTTTTAAAAAGGATGTTTATTTACGTATGGATTGACACTTCTTACTATCATATGTCACTTGACCGACCTTCTGTGTCCCATTAATGTCTAGCAACTATGCAACATACACACACCGCCACACTCTCACACACACACACACATATATATATATATATATATATATATATATGGGGGGGGGAGTATGCTCACATATATTTTGTATAATATCGTGTATGTTTCTATACAGGGTTAAAGATTTTATTGTTTACGGATTTACAAACATATGGATGCGCTTATAGATATCTCTTATATGTATGTGTATATGTATGTATGTGTTTATATATATATATATATATATGTGTGTGTTTGTGTGTGTTTATATATATTTGCGCGTTTATCGATCTATATATTTATATACGTTTATATGTGTATATGTCGACTTTACGCACACACGCGCACACACCTATATATATATAAATATATATATATATCAAATCGATATTTCCCTAAAAATTTCCTTATTTCCAGATTATTTAATCAGCGACTGTCTGTAGGTGTGTGCACGCGGCTGTGCTGTGTCTATTATTGACCGACTCACAGTTCACACTGACTTCAGTTGAGACCTTTCGTTCTCATAAAGCAACAGGTGGTGCCCACTGTAAGCAACTGATTCTCCCGCGCCCACCACAATCGGCCTTTTTTAGAGGTCATATCTGATCGATTGTCGCAGGTGTTGCCGGCAGAGTCAGGTAACAAATCGATAGTTTCAAGATAGAAAATAAGCTACATACAAAAAAAAAATGGTGAAAAGGAAAAAGAAACCAGTTGCGCAGGAAAACGGGATTTTTTTTTTCCTAATCAGAAAGGCAAATGAGAATCGATCCAAGTAAAAATAATGACGAAATTAGAATAATAGGTAGATTTGAAGTAGTACAAACGTAAATATGATAGAGTGGGGACAGTTACACACTGGGAATTATACAAACCATTTCGTATCTGTCATATAAAACTTAAAAAGATATTGCTGACCAAAATTAACTGTTGTGAAGATGCGAAATGTTTGTTAGCATTAAAGGACCGTGTTTTAATTACGAGTGAATATATGCATATTTCAATGTTCTAGCTGGCTGCTGGAGCTGAAAGATAAATCGGCGAGCCGATTCAAATTCCTGTCTATTCCGTTGAGCCCAAATTTGCACAAATGCCCTTGGAAAAGGCATGACTCTATCTCTTCTACCCACCAACTGGTTAAATATTAATCAAGAATAAACAAAACTTTCAATTTGATGCTGCAAAGAAAAGAACGTAAATCCACTTAGAGTCTTTCCCATGAAGTTACAGCAACAAACAGGTAACCAAAAAAAAGTAAAACTATAAAGAAATAAAATTGCCTACGTCCTGAAGAGATATAACATAAAACTGTTTTTTTTTCGTTTTTTTTTTTAAAAGTAATGACTTTCCGGAGAATCGTGAATCATCATGTCTTTATATGTTGTCTTATCACTACATTCCTTGATAAACTGTTTTGTCATTAGCATATGAAGTTGGTTGACGGAGAAATTTGAATGGTTTATTAGTTTAGCAAACTTTTATCTCATTAAATAAGAATGCACTATGATTGTAATATTTCTATAATACTGTAGTATAATCATTTGAATCTTTAAATAAATTGAAAAACAACAAAATCAAGATCGTGCAGAAATTTGTTTAACTCAGCAGCAACATTTAACGAAGAGAGACATCAAACTCCGCAAAGGCAAGGCCTGGGGTGTCCTTGACGCTCTGAGCACCATCTGGAAGTCCTCCCTCCCTAACAGTCTTAATAAGGAACTTCTTTAATGCCCACGGTAGAATCTGTCTTGCTCTACGGCTCATGGACACTGACGAAACATCAAGAAGCATCACTTTATGGAACATACACAAGGATGTTATGAGTTATATTGGACATCAGCTGGACGAAACACCCAACAAAGAAACGCATACATGGACCCCTTCCTCCTATTTCAGTTTCGCTAAGAGAGAGAAGGCTTCGGCTAGTTGGTCATTCCTGGAGAAGTAAGTCAGAAATTGTGAGTGACGCCCTCCTATGGAACCCATTGCGCGGAAAAATACCCTTTGGAAGACATCATCACACTTACATTGACCAACTTGTAGATGACTCTGGATGCCATCTGAAGGATGTTTGACAAAGATGATTGGAAAGAACGAGTCAGGAGAATCCGAGAAAAATTCTTGAGCTGATAAATGATGATGATGTAGTGCAATAAACTACGACATAATGTGTGGTACCGAAAGCCGAAGTTGCGTTGGAATAGCTTAAACTAACATTAAGACATAGGAATATTTGGTGAGAAACAAAGAAATGGTCTATTGACCTAATCTTTGTTGTGTATTACAACGTTTTGGCCATTTTGACCTCTGACCTTCCCCGGATGATCTGTGTAAACTACAAAGAATTATGAAAAGTATTCTTTATTTAATCTTCGAGCACACACTATGTCAGCAAATGCACAACAATTTAATCTACGAGGTTATTTTCCCATAGGACAATTTGCTGTAGTGAACTTGGAGCCTTAAACCTAACCTACCTGATGATTACTTGAACTCAGTGTAAATGGGCAAGCAATAACTGAGCTGTACTTAAAATAAGAAGTAGACGATATCTTTAGACATGGGCAGTAGAACGAGTACAGGCTATCCTTGTAGATTAGCAAAGACGAAGACAATAGTCCAATTGTGAATAGTGTAAATAATGATAACTCCTCATCCCAGAAATTCAGACAGAATGCAATCAGGTGGTAATAACAATAAAGATGAGGACAACAGTCCGAATATAAATAGTGTAAATAATGATAACTCATCACCCCAGAAATTCAGCCAGAAAAATGATGCCAGAAATTCATACAGAAAAAAAGGTGCGAGAAATTCAGACAGGAAAAAAATGTGCCAAAAATTCATACAGAAAAAAGATGCCAGAAATTCAGACAGAAAAAAAGGTGCCAGAAATTCAGACTGAAATAAATTTCTGTGTTATATCTATTCTACGATATGGCCGTAAGGATTGGACAATGTCCATATAAATGAAGGAGATACTGGACAAAACATGTGATCAACGAGGAAATTCTAAAGAAAATAGGAACAAGAAAGTCAGAAAATATAGCTTGGAAAATTTAATACACACAGGGCGTATTGAAGAAAGGAGAGATGGCGGGACAAAACAATCAACGACAGGGCAGTAACAAGGAATAATGGTAAAGAATCTAGCATTGTCTAGGATTACAATGAATAGAACGGTATGGAGTCATGATTGACAATATCCCGAAGGAGCAGCCTACGTAACTGGTGATGACTGGTGTTGACGCTAGAATGAGACTTAATTGGGTCTCGTGATCTAAAATTGAGATCAATAATTGGTTAGGTGTGATTAAAAACCTGTAAAATTTAGAAGAAACAGTGTGAGTGATTTTAAAATAAATTTCTTCGATTGCCATTAAAGGAAGGTTACATATGAATGAGGTCTGAGATATTAGTGGAACAAAGATTTTGAGGATAAGTTGAATAGATAACGATTGATCTTAATTTGTGGAGGTCAAGATTAAAGTGTTCGGAAAAGCACCACCGTGTGAGTCTGTAACAGAAAGTGTCAGTTCTTGGGTTAAAAAAATAAAAGTTGACTGATTAAAACTTCTGGCTTACATCTGGAACACGGGGAAAATAAGACTGTTTCGACTCTGTGGAATTAGCATAACATGTCTTCACAGTAAAAGTCGGACCTTATGAAACCAGAGACTGGAGCTCATCTGAATATTTGCCATGAAAGTATCGACGAGCTTGCGAAGTTTCATCTGTGGGTAGTGTTTTTGTGGAGTAAAAAATAAGTTAAACCCCGGACGAGATCAGGTAAACGATTTTGAACTCTATCAAGGCTGGAAAGTGAGGATTTAGTAGCTCTAGTCAAAATATTAATACAAGTAAAAAGTTTTTCACTTAGCTGGTGGATGTTATCTTCAGCATCCCGGATCCAGAATTTCGTAGATGGATCTGTCCGTTCACACCTCAGGGGTGAGCAGCAATTGGCTGCTGATACTTCTCTATTTTAGTTTTATATGAACTTATCTTATAGAATACGCAAAGGCGTTCGACAAAGTACGCCACAAAGATCAACAAACCAAAAGATAAAATATGAGTTTTAGCAGATATACAAAAATAGAAAGAGGCGTAAGGCAAGGATGTGTCTTCTCACCGGACTTATTCAACCTATACAGCGAGGCAATTCTGAGAGAATTGGAATGCCTACTGGGATTCATCATTGGCGGCCACGATCTTAACAAAATAAGATACGCAGATGACACTGTATTGATATCAGACACGAAAAGGAACTTACAAAACCTCCAACAGAAGATAGCTAAGGAGAGCGAGAAGAAGGGACTAAGCAAAAAACGACCAGAACAGCAAAAAAAAAAAAAAATGTGTCCGAAATGCGATTTACAAGTCGGGGGGCACTAAAATCAAGCAGGTACGGAAATTTAAATATCATGGAAGTGTTCTGACAGAGGAGAGTAATTGCGACGCTGAGATCCGAAGAGGAATGGCCAAAGACGCAATCCAAAAGCTAGGCAGAGTATAACGAGACAAAAGGGTTTCATTGATAACAAAGAAAAGAATACGGAACCGCTATGTGATATCTGTCCTCTTTTACGGCCGCGAATGTTGGACGGTCTCCTCAAAGATGAACAAGAGACTCGAGGCAACAGAGATGGGGGTCGACAGAAGGATGCTAAGGATACCATGGACCGAACATGTGAGCAAAGATGAGATTTTGGAGAGGATGCAAACAAAAAGGAAACTCATATTTAACATCAGGAAGAGGCAGTTGGAATTTTTAGGAACAGGTAATAAGAAAGGAGGGCTTGGAAATTATGATACTCACAGGGTGGATGGGGGAAAAGATGGACAGGGGAAAGCAACGCGTGACATATTTGACGGGCTTAAGCAAGTGCATAGCAGAACAGGGTCTGGGAGAAATAAAAAATTTATTAAGAGCTACAAAGGACAGTAGGAAATGGAAAGCCATGATCGCCTACGTCCTGAATGGACACAGTGCATAAAAGAAGAATAAGTTTATACAAGTTTTTTTTTCTTTGTTCTTCATAGTGTATATGTGCGTGCGATGCGTTCGCGCACATGTGGCCGTCTGCGCGGATGTGCCTACGTGTAAAATCTCATCATTTGTCTTTTTTGTCGTGTTTTTTCACTTTACAATTACTCAAGTGACAGCACCAGACATATATATATATATATATATATATATATATATATGTGTGTGTGTGTGTGTGTGTGTGTGTGTGTGTGTGTGTGTGTGTGTGTGTTTGCTTTTTTCTTATTCATACCATTTTAATTATCTACTTTTTTATTATATGTTTCTCTTTTAGTGCTCTTTTTAGTCCCTCCTTTTCTTTCTCACTTTATTTCTTCTTCTTTTCTCTTGCTTTCCCCCCGTTCTATTTCTTTACCACTCACTTTTCTCTCCCTCTTTCTATGTCTCTTTCACTCGCTATTCCTTCCCTCTTTCTATATTTCTCTTTCACTTGCTTTTCCCTCCTTCTTTCTATTTCCCTTTCACTCACTTTTCCCTCTCTCTTTCTATGTCTCTTTCTCACTATTCCCTCCCTCTTTCTGCTCCTCTTTCACTCACTTTCCCTTTCACTTTCTATTTCTCTGTCACTCGCTTTTCCCTCCCTCTTTCTATTTGTCTTTCACTCACTTTTTCCTCTCTGTTTCTATTTCACTTTCACACGCATTTCTACCCTCTTTCTATGTCTCTTTAACTTGCTTTTCCCTCCCTCTTTCTTTTCCTCTTTCACTCATATTTCCTTCTCTCTCTTTCTACTTCTGTTTCACTCATGTTTCCCTTTCCCTTTCTTTTCCTCTTTCATTCACTTTCATTCTTTCTTACTTTTTTTTCCAGTTTTCTGCATTCTTCATCTCTTTCTCTCTCTTTTGCCCCGTTCTATTTTTATCTTTCTTCTCTTTTACCCTCTTTTCTTCTTCTCCCTCTTTCATATTTATCCACGTCTCTCTCTATTTTTTATGTATGTTATTCTTCTTCCTTCCCTCTCTTCTTTCTCCCCTTGTTGTCTTTTCTCTCTTTATTTTTCTTGCTTTTGTAAAGCGAACAAAAACCAAATTATTTCACAAACAAACAAAATACCTCTCTAATGTCGCACCTGGTAACTCTCACCTAGATGGATTAAAAAAGAAATCATTTCGTCGAGGAGTCGGGTATTATTCTCATTCTTCTTTGTTCGTGGTAACAACCGTATCCCTTGCCACAGATACAAATTTCTTTCTGCCTAAGAGACGTTAGGGAAATTTGTGTTCAAGCCTGTGTCACACAAAATTAAAGCCAAACCATTTCTACCCAGAAAGTTCATATTCGTTTTAGCCTAGTCTGGTACAGTAATCAAATGCAGAGCGCTTGAAAAGAGTCTATTTCTAGCTGTCTGCAAGTCTGTCTGGAAAACTTCCTTTGCACATAAGTTTATCTTATTTACAAATTATCATTGTTCACTGGAAAATGTACGGCTGAGAAAATAGAATTGTTTATACAATTCGACATCAATAATTTCACGCTTGCTGGTTTTTGTTCATTTCTTTTATTTGACTTGTGAAACAAAGCAGAAGTTGTGACCTGCTAAGTGAAGTGAATCAATTTATTAAAAATGTGTAATTTTTATGAAGTTATTTCATCTAGTAGCATTGAAGAGACAGATATATCAGGTTTCGATTAATAGATATGAACAGATGTAAGTTAAAGCGACACACATAAGAATAGACAATGCCTGATATAAAAGCATAAACAGATAAATTTAGATAAGAAAAGATTGAGATAGGCAAATAGATATGATCTGATCAAGATAGTGTGAACGCACACAAACTCATGTATCGGTGTGTCTATATATGCTGAGAGAGTTGGGGATATTTTCAGCAGCAATAGTGATCATATATATATATATATATATATATATATATATATATAGACAGATAGATAGATAGATGGATAAATAGATAGATAACATCAAATCCGTAAGTAGAAAGGATAATCCAAGTAGGTCTTTTTAACGTAAAATATTAAAAAGATAGATCATGAAGAGAGCTTAGTGTATTGTGCACACATGATATACATCAAAGGAAAAAACTTCACGCATCATCGAAAAATAATAATAAATTCATTTCAGCAGGTAAGGTTTTAATACCTGTCTCATCAGACCGAAATTACAAGATGGTTTAAATTTATCCAGACAATATGTTAAAAATTATTTTAAAAATGAATTACAAGAGAACAGGAAGTAATGTCTAAAACACTTAGAAAATTTTTTTTCTAGGGATTTATACTATTGAAGAGAGGTGGTGGGGAGAAGCAACGTGGCAACACAATGAACAGAGGTGGGGGGAGTACAAATGACAGCTAGTGAAATACATTGGAATATATATATATATATATATATATATATATATATATATATGTACGTATGTATGCACAGTTATTTGAATATCGCTTTGAAGCGTGAAATTGACATGTAGTGTTGATTCTTATGTCCACACTGTCAACAAATTATAAACTCTCCATCTCCGATATAACGAAATGACTAGAGGGAAACCTTTTATGTCAACACGTTTCGTTCCTTTAAGAACTTTATCAATCAAATGTAGAAATTTTATTTAACAACGCTGTATTAATAAAACAGAAAGAAATAATACTGAGAAAAATAAATTTATGCATTGAAAGTTGAATTAGAGAGCGCTAAGGAACGAAATGTGTTGGCATAAAAGGTTTTCCACTTGTTATTCATTTTATTGATGTTGGATTTATAGATTCATTTATATTTAAAATTTACATACACATATATATTGGAATCTTACAAATACGTGTGTGTGCGTGTGTGTGTACGTGTGTGTGTGTGTGTGTGTGTGTGTGTGTGTGTGTGTGTGTGTGTGTGTGTGTGTGTGTGTGTGCGAGAGAAAAAGAGGCTGATGCCGATTGATAGGTGTACAGAATTGTATAGATTAGCAACATATGAAAAAGCACCAAACACGCTTGCAGGTGCATTTACACACGCGCACTCGTGTGTGTGTTTCTGTGTGTTATAAAGTTCGTATCAACTCGTCGTTCGGATTAATAATATTCCAAAGAAAAACAAGATTAGGGAAGAACTGTTTAATTACGTGGATTAATATAACAACAGTAGAGAATAACGTAGTCAGTGCGACACACTTTGCGACTACTGCCTGAATACTATGTTCAGTTTGATATTTGTTAATATATATATATATATATATATATATATATATATATATATGGAGTATTGCTGCCATATATGTCTGAAGCCCCTTCTGTTTGCCTCGGGGTTCTTGATAGACTCCAGAGGCGGATATGCAATATAATTGGCCCTGATCTGGCATCTCGTCTACAGTCACTTTCTCACAGACGCGACGTCGCCTCTCTCTGTCTGTTTTACAAATACTTTCATGGCAATTGCTCCGAGAAGCTGCATTCGCTGGTTCCCAGACTTCATGAGTTCAAGCGCCCTACGAGGCTGGCATCCCGCTCTCACCCCTTCACTGTCGAAACTTCTAAATGTAGCCGTCTCTTCTACTCCAATAGCTTCATGTCTCGCACCTCTCGCCTGTGGAACTCCCTTCCCTATTCCAGTTTCCCTGTAATCGACATCTCCAGTTGCCTTGATCTATCCACTACCATTCTCCTCATCCTTTCTTCTAACTCTCATACATATATATATATATATATATATATATATATATATATATATATATATATAGAGAGAGAGAGAGAGAGAGAGAGAGATAGATAGATAGATAGATAGTGGAGTAATGGATAGCGGCTTGGATTGAGGAATCGCAGAGCCGAGTTCGAATTCCAGCCGAATCTATTACATTCACTTACGTCCTAATACCCTTGAGCAAATGTGTGAATCCTCTTCTTCTCCCTTGGATGGCAACTGGTCTAGGAGAAGGACAACTCTGAATTCAAAACCTGCGGAGGGTCGTTTGGGAACCTTGTGGCACTTAGTGCACCAGGTCTCTGAATTCGGCCCTTCAAAAAAGTGTGGCTGGTCCTGCACAAAACCTTCACCACTATAATCAAATCTCATGTGCCGTTGTCGGGCTGTCGGTTTCCTGGAAAAACTGATCTGCTTGACCCTCATACGTCGAATTCGTATTTTATTTCCAAAAATGGTAGTTAAATTATATAATTAAATTCCGTTTAAAGTTCAAGCGAATATTGGAATAACTTATTTTTAAATTTACTGAGTTTTAAACGCGCATATAAATTCATAATTTACTGTTTCCAATTTATGATTTTATATGTGCGTTTAAAAATTCCAATATACCATTTTTTGAAAACATGGTTATTACGGTGTAGCGAAAAAAGAACATATTTTAAATGACTTTTATAATATGTATGCTCTATAAATTTACATTGAGCACTGATTTGTAAAAATAAAAATATCAATAAGAGCACCGGATTATATATCTTACAGTTCTTTCTTTATATATACATATATCTAAAAGTGAACATTGAAGTCAACACTTAGAGGTGACAGGCTGTTTCATGCTAAATGCAATCGTCTGGCCTGACGATTGCATCTAGCATGAAACAGCCTGTCACCTCTAAATGTTGATTTCAATGTTCACTTTTATATTACACACGCTCTAACTCTGATATTGAGCACTTTATCCCATAAATATAGCAAACCTTAAGGCTATATTTCTTCATGAATACATACATACATATATATATATATATATTCCTTCTCCCATATAAAAAACTTACTTTAAAATATATCTTCCCTAATTATTTTTTTTTTTTTTTTTTTTTTTTTGCTTGTGTCTGGATAAATTTAAAATCCATTTCTTCTTGTAAAAATTTTGGTCTGATCCCGTGAAATAAAATTATTACCAATAAACTTTTAAGGACTCTGCTATCATTATATATATAAATACACACACACACACACACACATACACACACACACACACACACACACACAATACTATTGATCTTGACCTGGCATCTTGGCTTCACTCACTTTCTCACCTTCGTAATGTAACATCCCTACGCCTTTTCTATAAATATTTTCATGGTAATTGTTCTGATGAGCTTTCATCTTTGGTACATAGACTTTATGAATTTAAGTGCAGTACTAGATTGGCTACTAGGTCTCATCATTTTACAGTTGTAATCGCTAGATATAAGCAGAAATTCTATGTTAACTATTTATTCTCTCGCACTACTTCTGACTTTTTGTTTTCCAGTCAATTTCGAAAATTTAAATTCAATATCAATCGTTATCTCCTTTTTTAATTCTTGCTCTTTTACTCCTTGATAAAGTTTTGTTTTTTTTTCTTCATATTCACTCTCACTCAGTAAATTTAGAAATTTATTGTTTTGATTTGATATATATATATATATATATATATATATATATATATATATATATATATATATATATTAATAGAAATCTTATAAGTATATGAAAACTATACTCGCTCGTAAAACCTTCGATGTCTAGATTTGCAAATAAACAAGCCAATACTAACGGGAAAAAAGGTATAAAAAAAGAAAGAACCAAGAACATGTACGTTAGCCGAAAATAATCGTCCAGCATGCAAGTTCAAGGGACAAAGAAAAAAAAACCCGATGCGAGTACGCAAAATAACTAAATAATTTGCTCAATACAGTCAGCAGAGCAGACCGAGTTAAACCTAGAGAGCCAGACAAACCTACCAAGGTTTCACCTAAGCGGATCGTCAGGGAAGGCCTTGATAGGCTTGTCTGGCTCTAGGTTTAACTATATATATATATATATATATATATATATATATATATGTGTGTGTGTGCGTGTGTGTGTGTGTGGGTGTAGATAGATAGATTAGCATTTACTTGGGCTACATATGCCTGTTACTTTGTAAAAACATAATACTCGCCAATTGATCTAAAGGACGGGTATATTTCCGTGTAATGGCGGGCGCTTTATATGTATATCGTTGGGTTAGCAAGCTTGTCTCGCTAGAACAATTACGACTGAGTAGTGAGTTCAATCCTCACTGGGTGCCCCTTACTTTCGGCCTTGTGCCACATCTAATCTACGCTTGGAAAATCACTATATGTATATCGTTGTACGCATGCGCATATACGCCTGTATATTTTCTCATATGGACATAGATAGACAGACAGCTAGCTGTAAATATATAAATATTTGTTTCTATTTCGAGGATTCGTTAATAAGAAAACCGAATTTCCCAAGATAAGTATTTTCTCAGCGTAAATTATTTTACCGTTTTTCTTTCCCTCTTCTGGCACGATCGACGTTTATTTTTAGGATCAATTGACGAAGGATCGTCACCTCTGAAGAAAACATCAAAAGATTTTTTTTAATGGAAGGTGGAGACGCAAAAATTAGTTTAACTGACTTTGCGTTGCAATAAATTTTCGCGTTTATTCCTTGTTCTTTATTTCCAAATTTGTTTAATTTGCGTGTGCGCGTGTGTATGTGTGTATCGCTTTATATTTTCTTTCTTTTTAGGAGAAAATGACTGTTATATATATTTTTTTGTTATATTTTTCGCCCACTTTTATCGTTTCTTTCTTTATTTCGCTCTTTTTTTGTCATTCATTTTATATCTATTATTCTCCTTAATTTTTTTTTTATTTTTCTCCCCCTCTTTTTCTCGGCTTTCCCCATCTCTCTTTCTGTCTCTTTCCTATTTTCATTTTCGCCATCTATTTCTCCCCTTCTCTCTTTGTCTTTCTCATTCTATCTTTTCTTCTCTATTTCCTGAATTCATTCTCTTTATCTCTTTCTCTCATTTATTTGATATATCTCTCTATTTATCTCACCTCTCTTTTTCTTTTTTTCTTTTAGTCGCTATCACTTTCTCTTTTTTTGATTCCCACTCTCTATTTTCTTTCTGTTTTCTCCCTCTCTCTAGCTCTTTTCTCTCTATTTTCTCCTGCTCACTCTAGAATGTTTTTCACTTTACTTTATTTTAATTCTCTCTCTCTCTCTCTCTCTCTCTCTCTCTCTCTCTCTCTCTCTCTCTCTCTCTCTCATTATAAAACTACTGACAGAAAATAGCAAACACAGTCTTTTTCGAATGAATTCAAATCAAATTGCATTACGGAATTTCATTCATTCAATAAATCACTTTTTCATCTTCGCCATATTTCCTTCCCATCATCCACTTTCCTTCTTTTAGCCATTCCCTTGTTTCTTTCCTTCATCCGTTACATTTTTCATTCATTCTTCCTTTTTTCTTTCTTTTCTTTTTTTCTCGTTTAATTTTCTATTAAAAAATTGTATATACTTCATTCAAATTTTTATCTTTAATGTTTCTATTAAATTACTGATTTCGTTTTATTTTTATTTTTTTCAATATTATAATTCACTCAATCTCTTTCTTTATATCTGATTATATTTTCCTTTATTTCTGTTATTAATTTCAAAAATTTTAATTTAATTTTCCCTTCATTTATCCGCATAAAATAATATTAGGGATAATTGTGTTTTTAGACCAAAGGTAGAAAAATTGATTTTTCGACACCATCTTCTGAAGACACAAGGCAGGAAAGCCCCAAAACATTTATTCTAAAATTAACGTGGACATAATAAATGAAATTTAGATCATCAAAAATTTCAATAGAAGAATCTATCAAATGTTCCTTGAACTACCAAAATGATCTCACAGACTACAGATAGTGGTTATTGTCGCCGGACACATCTATTGGCAAATCTTCAGCAGGAAGACCAGCGCTGAATCAACACACTGAACTGAGGACAATATTCTTTAGGTTTCTTTGTTCCAGCGTTATTTTAGTGATGACGTAGTGAGCGTCGTCTCTGGAGGAAGAAGAAGATAAATAGAACCAACGTTATTCAGTCGGCTATCTACTACCCTTGTAAATGTTGCTTGTGTACTATGTTGAAGAGATTAATGTGGCTGCGTGTTGAAGAGCATTTAACATTTATATATTATTGAATCAAGGTAAAACAATGAGAAAAACGATTTTTGTTCCAACGATAAAATATATATTAAAATCAAAAAAATACAAAACAATTTTGTAATGTGTGGATATTAAAGAAAAGAAAGTAGTTTCCCTTTATCTGTTAGCTTGAATAAGATAAAATGTGATTAAGAATGTTTCTTCAATAGAATGTTCAAAGTTCTATGTTGAAATAGAATGTTGCATTCAGAAAAGCATACAGTTAATTCAGTTGTGTGTTATTTGTATAACTAACAGAGTGTTGGTTTGTAACTTGGCTTGTTCACAGAAAATGAATGTTGAAATGTAATTCAAGTTCTGTCTCTGTGTGTGCGTAGTGAGTAGAATCAATAATCTGTGTAGACGCGTGTGAGTTGCTGAATTCTACTGTCTATTTTTAGAACAAAACACTGCTTTTATAACTATTGGTAGGCTCCAGGAAACAAAGCGGGAAAGTTGAAAGAATACAGAAAATGTATGATTGGATGAAAAATTAACCAATCGGTGATTTTCTAACAAAATCATGTTTGTGAAATTCACGACAGAAAAATTCTGTGTGGTGTCTGCCATTAGTAAATTTTCCTGTGGTATACAACGTTTATTATTTAACCAATCACAGTTGAGAAAACTGTAGGCATGGCAAACGTAGTAGTAGTCACTACACCCTCTTCACGCGTGTGACCCGTCTGCCTGGTGAAACTGCGTATAGAGTTGTTGCCCTACTATGAGTAAAGAGCCCATACTTGCAGATTTATAAACTTTGCCATTTTCCAAGATTAGTTGCCCTACCATGTTCCCACTTTGCCTTATTAACTACGGGGTCTTAAATTCAGAGATTTCCTTCTCCTAGTGTGGTTATCACCCAAATCAAGTAAACCCAGTCTGCCATGATATTTAATACCCTGGCTGGAGAAAGATGGATTCGTGCCTTTTCTAAAGGCATTAACGTGAAGAGAACGTAAGACTCGATTAGAATTTGAATTCTATTCTGATGAACTTTCTTCTTTGGTACTTTACGAATATAAACGTTGTACTAGACTAGAGGCAATGTCTCATCATTTTACAGATGAAATTGCTAGATGCAAAAGTAAGTTTTATATTAACAGTTTCTCTCATAATTCCCGCTTGTGGAATTCGCTTCCAGCTTCTTGCTTTCCAGCCAAATTGATTTTGAAAAATGTAAATGCAATATCAATCGTTATCTTCTGTTTTCCTAATTCTTGTTCATTTATTGTTCTCTCTTCTTAATAATGTTTCTCTCATATTCTCTCTAGATTTTTAGCATGAGGAATTATCATTATTTACATGTGGACTATTCTCCTCATCTTTAGTGTTGTTATCAAACCGTTCTGACATCCAACCCTTATCAGGCGCTTGTCAATCCGTGTATCCTACAGGGAATTTCGAATTTGATTCATTATTTATGATATTACTCGCACTGCCCGGCCCAGGGATTGAGCGCATTATTACTATTTCATTAAATCTACTATTTTCATTTGATCCACTAGGCTATCATCTATTTTCTTTTCCTTTCTTTTCCGTTTTTTTTTTGGGGGGGGGGCTTTATTTTCCATTGATTCTTTCTTTTTTCCTTTTCCCAAACTTTTCCTCATTTTATTTTTCTCTTTTTCCTTTTTGTCTTTCGTTTTCCTTTTGTTTCTTTTAGTTTTTTCTTTTTCTCTTTTTCCTTTGACTTTTTACTTTCTTTTTCCCTTTTCTTTTTCCTTTTTATTTTTCCTTTTCTTTTTTCTCTTTCTCCTTTTATTTTTTCAGGTTTTCCTTTTACTCTTTTTCTATTTCCTTTTTATTTTTCTCTCTTTCTATTTTCTTTTTTCTTTCCTTTTTCCTTTTTTTCTTTTTCTTTCTACTCTTTTTCCATTTATTTTTTCGTTTTCTCTTTTCCTTTTTCGTTTTTCTTTTTCCTTTATTCGCTTTCTTTTTTACTTTTCCTCTTTTACCTTTTTTCTTTTTCTCTATTTCTTTTTTCCTTTTACCTTTTCCTTTTTTTTTGTTTTCTTTTACTTTTTTCTTTATATCTTTTTCCTTTTTCTCGTTTTCCTTTTTCGTCTTTCTTTTTCTATTTTTCTTTTTTTCATTTTCTCTTTTTCCTTTTTCTCTTTTACCGTTTTCCTTTTTCGTTTTTCTCATTTTTCCTTTTTCTCTTTTTCCTTTTTCTCTTCTTTCTTTTTTCTTTTTCCCTTTTTTCTTTTTCTCTTACATCGTTTTCCTTTTTTCTTTTTCTCTTTTTACCTTTTCTCTTTTAACTTTTCCTTTTTACCCCTACGCCTTTTAATTGCTTCCATACGTTACTTCCTCCTCTCATACCATCACACTTGTTTTCCTTCCATTTTCCTTCGTTCTTGATTTTCAAATGTTTAGTGTTTCCTACGTCTTCTTTCATTCTTGTTTTTTTTCCATTATTTATCTCTCTTTGTAACATCATTAGCCTTACAGAATATATTCGACTGTCACTCTATGAACACAGACTTTCACAAAACTTTCAACCTATTCTCCTCTTTATTATTCTCGCTCTTACTCACTTTTACGCTTTCAAATAATTACCTAACTTTTCTCTTTCGAAACCCAACACGTGTCTCATTCTTACGTCTTTCTACGTTCTTCTTTCTTTGATCTTAGCGGCTTCCGTTGCTTCCACCGCGACATCGTGTCCACATTAAACCGGCTTCAGTTCGAGTGGCAGAAGCAGACTGCTCATCTACAAGAAATGCCCTGGCTCGATGCCAACTTTTCTCTTTAGGAATGGTAGTTAAGATGATGAGAGTGTAATGCACGTGTCTCTGTCTTCAATTGCACTCAGGCTTTTTTCTTGCCCTCCCCTTCATCTTCCTTCTGTAACTTGAGTCATCCGCGAACTTATTGCCCTCTATCTTTCTTCCAACATCCTTTTTACTTCTTCCATCTTCTAAGTCTTTCCTTTCCCTTTCTCTCTCTCTCTCTCTCTCTCTTTCCCCTTCTCTCTCTCTCTCTCTTTCCCCTTCTCTCTCTCTCTTTCCCCTTCTCTCTCTCTCTCTCTCTTTCCCCTTCTCTCTCTCTCTCTTTCCCCTTCTCTCTCTCTCTCTCTCTCTTACATTCTTAG